CATTGTATGAAGAGGAATGTTGCGTGTGAGAGAAGCGATAAACCCGTTTCCATAATGTGACGGTGCTTGCGCTCCGATATGCATCTACGCTTCCATATACATGCGTACGTTTATCTCCACCTTTTCCATATCTTTTTAGAATTATTTTGCTTGAATAGTGTTTTCTTGTACGTACTCGCGAAAGACCCATGTACGACAGTTCACAAATATAGGTTTCCAATACGTACAAAGCCGTAGGTCTTGACAAAACGGATATATGTACAAAAGATTTGTACATATGCTAGCTTTAATTAATTATAAGAATGTTTCGTTCAAGCCCTCATGCATGTTGATGTTGGGACTCAACGGGTGCTTCAACAGGGGAAAAACAAAACAAAGATAATATTAAAGTCGCATCGCGTGTTCGAAATTCTCGTGATGGAGAGATCAGGTGATTTACGTGCATGTATGGGCTGCAAGACTAATAATTTATGATTATCAAAGAAGAAGAAAAAAACAGCATTTTTTTTTCTGTAACGAAGATAATCCTATAGTTAGAATATAGTTTTAAGGTGTGTATATATATATATATATATATATATATATATATTGATATGACAATGATAGATGGATCCCCATGTGATATATATAGTGGCCCGTTATAATCCTACATGAGTTTTAATGATAATTTCTTTTGTTAGAATTTTGTTTTGTAGCTAGGGGTCTATATATCATAGGGTTTAGTCCTTTTGTGTTTGGTCATTAATTAAAGATCATATATATATATATATGAGGGATGAAGAGGAAAAGAGTTAGATTTTGAAGACAAAGCATATCTTGTCCCTTTCATTATGAATGGACTCACAATATATGGACCAAACCTCAATTGTGTGTGTGTATAATGGTGAAAGATATTTTCTTTTTAGCATATGGGAACAGGAAATAAGAATGTGGATGGCCAAAAAGCTAGATAACAAATGCAAGTGGAGTTAAAGAACATGAAGAGTCCACTAGTCTCTTTCATGTTAAACTCTCTATCCTCTCAATTTTATTCTAATTAGACCAATTATATGAATAAATAATACACCATATGTTTCCGACAACCATTCATGTTATAAATTCTTTTTTTTTTTTATATATATAACTAGGATGGTTTTCCGGGCCTTTAGCCCGACTACATCCACCATAAACCCGAGACCACCTTTTGTAAACCACAATTGGAAAAATATTTTTTTGTGTATTGATATGAAAAGATACAACCATATATATACATGTACAACATCAAGGGTTGTGCTATGATTAAGGAATTGCAGAAGCATGAGATCAGGAAATAACGTAACAAACATATTTAAACAGATTCTAAGAAGATATCCTTCCATTACGCCCCCGCAAGATGAGGCTCGTGTGGAGACCAATGTTGACCCGTAAGAGATCAAACCGAAACCGTGGGAGTGGCTTGGTGAGGGCATCGGCGAGTTGATCTTGGGATGAGACGTGTGACACTCGAAGCTGTCCGTCTTGGACGAGTCCACAGATGAAATGATAATCTATTGCGACATGTTTCATCCTCGAATGAAACACTGGATTAGCGCAAAGGTACGTAGCACCTACGTTGTCGCAATAGATTACTGGTGAAGCTCCCATTCGGAATCCCATTTCAGAGAGAAGAGAAACGAGCCATCGAACCTCAGATGCTGTCGAGGCGATCGCTTTTGTACTCGGCCTCCGTTGAGGATCGAGCTGCGGTTCATTGTTTCTTGCATGACCAAGAGATCGGGTGGCGACCAAGGTAGACAATATAAGCGCTTGTAGAGGTATAGTCATCCCGGTTGTCTCCCCAATCCGCGTCGGATAATGCATGAAGTGTTGATGTGTTTGCGGATAAAAGGAACATACCAAGAGGGGCCGAACTAGCTAGATAACGAAGGACCCTTTTAGCCGCTTGCCAATGCTCTGAGGTTGGTCGATGCATGAATTGAGAGAGCTTGTTGAAAGCAAAGGAGATGTCGGGTCGAGTGAAATGAAGATATTGGAGGCTACCGACAATGTTGCGGTACTCGGTGGGATCATCGAGAGGTGATCCGTCAGTGATGTGAGTGATGTGGTTGATGCCATTGGCGTTGCAACAGACTTGGCATTCAACATGTTCGTCCGAGTGAGAAGATCATGAATATAGCGGCGTTGCGTGAGGTAGATGTTGATTGTAATGCTCTAGGATGATCCGTGATATGACATTTTGACTTTGTATTGATTCATTGGTTTATGAATGCATTACATTCCCGTTATATGATTGGCATGTTTGTTATATTTCGGCATCCTTGAATCATTATAGAATGATTCTAAATTCCCTGGTCAGTTATCATTGTGGGAACAATGATGAATTAAGACTAGCATGAGGTGTGATTGATGCATTGGATGCATATCACAATCATGGGTACTCGTTGTGAACGAGTGACTGGTTGACCCGCATGAGATTGTCACATGGACAGAGTCATGACTTGAATCTCATA